AGTTTGAAATCATGGAGCCATCCTGGTGAAAAATTCCCAAGCATTCTCTTGTCCAAGGTTCTCATTAAGCACATAAGAACAATGGGGTGGGGGGGGAAGAGAAGAAAAAAAAAAGAGGTTCAGTGAGGTCTCCCAAGATCAAAGCTAAATATTGGCAAAGTTCAAAAGTTATAATTCAGGGGCTGGAGCAATAGCACACAGGTAGGGCATTTGCCTTGCACGCAGCCAACCCAGGTTCGATTCCCAGCATCCCCTATAGTCCCCTGAGCACTGCCGGGAGTGATTCCTGAGTGCAAATCCAGGAGTAACCCCTGAGCATCACCGGGTGTGACCCAAAAAGCAAAATAAATAAATAAATAAATAAATAAAGTTATAATTCAGAATTTCAGCCTTTAATTCAGCTTCTGAGTCTGGCAAACTCCCCGTGGCGTACCCAATATGCCAAATACCAGTAACAATGATGGGTCTCATTCTCCTAAAGAGCCTTGAATATAATCTCAGGGCTAGGATGAAGGAGACGTTACTGGGGCCTGCTTGAGGCAACTGACGAATAACAGGATGATTTGTGATTGTGAATTCAGCTTCTGAGTCAGATCTACTACAGCCTGTCACTTCTACTCAACTCTAAAGGGCAAATGTCTGTTTGGGGTTTTCTTTTTTTCAGGTTTTGTGCCATAATACTGGTCACAGTTCCCGCAGTGGGCGTCCCAGAGGGGGAGCAGGGAAGCTGCCCCAGAGACGCGGGTCTTCTCAAGAGCCTGGAGACGGGGCAGACGCAAGCACAGGCCAGGCGGAAGTGGTGGCTGATGACGGCCTTCTTTTCCTGCCGAAAGACCGTCGGGAACACACGCTTCTGCTGCTAGGGTCCTCACTCTCCTTTAGAGAGGCGGTATGGGGCCTTTCAGTCCGTTTAACCACTCTCATTTCACACCTAATCCGCTTCCTCACACGCCCTCCCTCCCCACGGGCGACCTCATGGCTACTTTGTCCACCAGGGGGAGCCCCGTGGAGTTCCAAGCTGGGAAGCACCCGCAGGAGACTTCCGTGTGAACTCCTGAAGGGTCACTACATACTACACCCCCATCCCCCTGCCAACAGAGAAAAACCTAACATCATCAGGTGTGTCCTTAACATGACCGACCTAAGGCAGAAGGCCTGGGCGAATCGCTCAAATGGCAGATCACACACCTAGTCTGAAGGCTCAACAGGCTGCAAAACAGAGGCCCACAACGAGCCGGAGTGATGGGGAGGGCTCTGGCCTTAAACGGAGCCAACCCGTGTCAATCCCCGGCATCCCTTATGGAACCCGTGCACTCAGGTGAAATTCCTGAGAGCAGAGTCCAGAGTACCTCCTGAGTATCACAGGTACGGCCCCAAAAGGGGGGGGGGGGGGGGAATCAAGTCCAAATGAGGAGTCACTCTGGCTCCCAGCTCTGCTCTATGCTCCGTCTCCTAGGGAACCGAGTGGCAAGGGAGCCGCCCACCATTTGCTCCCTTAAACATCAATGTCCACTGGGCCTTAAGAAGTGTGTCTGGGGGATACACCTAACAATGGGACCACATGAGATGAGGGGACTGAATCCAGGTTGGCCATGTGCAGGGCAAGTGCCTTCCCCACCGCACTTTTTCAAGCCCCCAAACCCCAATATCCACTGGGCTCTGAGCATCATCCCTCCCCCACTGAGGGCTGAGAAGGGCCTAGCACCAGAAATCCCATTCCCACTTAAAGAGAAGATTACAGGGATATCAAGTGCCTCAAATGTTGTAGCCCCAAAGCAACTCTTCCTCCCAGCAGCGCGACACTCAGCTGAGTCTCAAGTGTTCTTGTCTGATGCCAACACCACCAGCTTATCAGCTCCTGCCGGAACTACTCCAGGAGCCTCAGGAGCTCCCTGTCTGCTATGCTCCATGCCAGGCCCATCGTTAGTACCATGAGGATTTCTGCACACCAGTATGGTCCTGGCACGTGTGGCATCCACGGGCACAGGTGAATGTGAAGTTGGCACTCCTCCGACTGCCTGGGGATGCTCTCACCCGGGGGCCAGCAAACGCTCCTGGAAGGGTCAAGCAGTGACCAGTTAGGGCTATGCAGGCCTTTGCCATCCAGTCAGGAAGCACCTGTGGAAGCACGTGTGAATGAAGGGCCACGCTTGCACTCCACCAAAATCTCCCCGCCTGGGCGCCCAGCAGGCGTCTCCGAAAAGGGCCCCAGCCACCCCAAGTCTTGCTTCCGGTTCCCTCAACCATCAGCTGCGTGCCTGGGAGTCTCTCCTCTGTGAGGAGTGGGACTCATGCCCCTTCCCGTCTGGGCGGGGCTGTTCTTGTCCTCCACCGTCTCTCGGAGGCCACCGCTCAATGAATTTACTGCACTGCTCCCCATGCATAAATGAACGGCCTGACCGGCGGGTGCTCAGGGCCTCAAAGGGGACTCATGAGAGCTGTGGCCCTGAGTCCCGTGTGCAGGCCATTTCCTCCACAGCAGGCTTGGCCACTGGCAAGAGAGTGCTGAGGCGGGGAGGAAGCAGAGACAGCTGCCACAGCGTACCAGGAGGGCCACCTCGGGTCCCCCAGTGAGGCTGCGGGTGCCTGCTGATCAGTCTCCCCCTCAGTTGCACACGCCCGGAGAGCACGGGATTCAGGACCACCCACGCCACTGGCCACCGTGCGTGGGGGAACGGGACCGTCCATGTGGCTCAGAGGCACCTAGATCCTGATCCCCATGCCCACTTCACAGAAACAAAAAATAAACTGAGGGAGCTCTTCCCACGCCACACTCTCATCACCCCGGGTGCCCTAGGTCCCGGGTGCAGACGCATAGTCAGCACTGTCCACATTCCTGCTGCAGATGCCTGCCCCACACTCAGGATGTCGTCACATCTCATCTGCGGGTGACTCCACAGGGAGACATGCGCCAAGACACACAAACTCAGAATAACACACGAGACGAGCCAGGGAGGCGGGGGAGGAGGTTTAGCTTCAACACAGTTTTCCTCCACATAATAAGACATCTACAACCATGCAGTGAGTTGGAGATCTGACAGCAGCTTCATCCGAAGTAGGAGGAGGAAAAAATGGGGTCACACTAGGTCACAGGGTGGTCCCTGGAGACAGCAGGGGAAGCTTTGCAGGAACAAGATTTCAATAAGCATCAAAATCTCAGCATTTTCCTACAGGGCGATATCCACACCCTGCATGCCAATCCAGGGAGGCCGGTGCAACTAGAGGATGCTTACTGTCTCTTCGCTTAAAGGAGATCCAGGAGGGTCGGAATGACTTTTTTTCTTTTTTTTGCAAAGAGGGCAGTAGGACCCTGTGCCGTCTTCTTACATTTCCTCGGGGCTGGCACCAGGCTCACCAAGGCCCAGTATGTGCCTTGGGAGGGGAGGGAGATGCCCCAAATTTCTCTCCCTTAGGTTTTGACCTGAGAAGTGGCTTGTTTCAACAGCAGACAGAGTGGCTGTCTGCGCGGGTCTCCAAGCACTCAGCTGCTAGAAAGAAGGGCGCCTTTCCAGGCCAAGGCAGTGCGAAAGCTGTTACTATCCACACGCTCAGGGCTCCTCCCCCAGAGTGCTCCCTGCCGGCCTCGGGTCAGGCACCAACTGTGGAGCATGCAGCAGGCTCGTGGAGGCGTCCCCAAGCCCAGCCTCCCTCAAGAGCTTCTCAGACCAACTCCTGAGGACTCGCAGCAGCATACCCAAAGCTCTCTCGGGCGTTCTGGGCAGTCAGACACAATCGTCCCCAGACTGAGAAGGGCCTGGCGGTCCCATGCGCCAGAGGGCCTGCAGGGACACGCTCCCCAGCAGGAGGGAGCTGCTGCCAACCTTGTGCAGCTCCTCTCTCGCCCACCCCTTGCCCTCTCCCGGCAGGGCACCCGGAAACTGCCGCCTGAGGGAGTCGTGTCCAGCACCGCAGCCTCGACAGAGCCTTCTGGGCACCCAGGGAGAACTCACAGCTCTCTCCCTAGAGCCCGGAACCTCCGTGAGGGTTGAGGCCCTGGCCTCTCTCTACAGCACGCCCCATGCCTCAGGGTTTTAACAGTGCTGGTGACCCCCCCCCCCCCAACCGCATCTCCCTGCCAGCCGCCTGCTCGGCGCAGGCAAGCAGACACCCCTCCAAAGGACGAGTGGCAGGGCTGGAGCCACAGCACACAGGGACGGTGCTTGCCCTGCCCATGCTGAGCCCGGTCAGCCCCCAAGAGCCCCGAGCCCCACCAAGAGTGACCCTCCGGAGCAGGGCAGGAGTCAGCCCTGTGACCGCCACGTGTGGCCCAAAACACATAAGTGTGTGTGTATGCGTGTGTACTTGACTGTGTACCACGCACCAGGCATCGGAGGAGGTGCCAAACGGGATGACTTAGCTGAGGCTGTGAAGTGTAAGACTCAGGATTCCTCGCTGACACCTTCCAAAGCTGGGGGGGGGGGGGGGGGTGGTAGCTGAGCTGGTGTGTGTTTCAGAGGGGGGGGGTGTGCGTGTGTTTCAGCACCGTAGCACTGTCCTCCCGTTGCTCATCGGTCGACTCGAGCCGGCACCAGTAGCGTCTCCCCTGTGAGACTTTGTCGTCACTGTGTCTGGCAGATGGAATACGTCACGGGGAGCTCGCCGGGCTCGGCCGGGCGGGTGCGATCCTCCCGGCAGCTTGCGGAGGGGGGCGGCGGAGTCGAACTCGGGCCGGCCAGGTCAGCCCGTGCCAGGCAAACCCCCGCCTGCTGTGCCGCCGTCTCACTCCAGCCCGAGAGAGAGGAAGTGTGTTTCAAAGGGTGTTTCGGAGGATGCGTGTGCGCGCGCGTCGGCTTCGGAGGACGTATTTCGGAGGGGGTGTGTGTGTGTGCGTGTGTGCGTGTGTGTGCGTGTGTGCGTGCGTGTGCGTCTTTCCTAAAGCCACGGCGAAGCAGGCCCCCTCGGCGCCGACACCGGGCCGGGCCCCCTCCGCGTCCGGGACCCCCGCACCCCGGGCCGGCCCCCGCCCCGCCCCCGCGGCGTCGCCATGGCGACCGGCTCACCACTTCGCGCGCGCGGCCGGCGAAGTCGCCCCTGGGCCGGGGGCTGCGGCGGAACAGCTCGTCCCGGCCGCCGTCCGCCGCGCCGCCCACCGCCACTCCTAGCGCCTTGTTGCGCGTCTTCACCGTCTTGACGCTGGCCCGGAACAGCAGCGTGATGTCCGCGGCCATGGCGACCCCCGCGCGGGACCCCCGCCGGCCGGCCACGTCAGCAGCCGGCGACCGCGGCGCGTGGCGCTCTCCCGGGGGGCCGTTCCGCCGCGCGCCTCCGCGGAAACCAGGGCGCGGGAGAAAGGTTCCGGCCCCGAGGCCGTGGCGAAAGAAAGGTTCCGGCCCCACCGGAAGCCGCGGCGCGCGAGGGAGGTGCCGGCAGGCGCCTTGGCCTGGGCGCCGGCCTCGGAGCCGGCCTCGGAGCCGGCCTCGGCCGCTGTGGCGCGTGGCCCCGACCGACCCGCCGGACGCGAGTGGCCGCGGAGGCCGTGGCGGCGACCGTCTCGGGGCCCGGGGCGCCCGGACGGGGCGCGGCAGCGCCTCGCGGTCGGGCCGTTGCCGTGGAAACGGCCGCGCGTGGGGCCGGCGGCGCGCGCGGCCTCGGGCCGGGGCGCGACCCTCCAGGGCCCGGGCGGGACGCGGCGGCGGTGACTGGTCGTCGCGGGGCAGGGCCTCGCCGCGGGGCCCCGCCGCAGCCGGCCGGACGCAGAGCCCCGAGGCCCGGCGCGGAGAGGCGGCCGTGCGGGGCGGTGCGACGGGCAGGCGGGCGCCGGGGAGACGGCGGGCGGGGAGGGGCGCTCCTGCCTGGCCCTGGAGTCAGCCGGGGCGGCCCCGCCCGCCGGGAGAGATCCCCGCGCCCCGCCGGCCGGCGGGTGTGACCCCAGCCCGCCACCCCCAATTTAAAGACGACCACCGGACGGTCCCCCTCTGCAGTGAGTGAGTGTCCGGGCACTGCTTTGAGCCGGACTTTGGACCCCCAGGACCCTCTGGACGGCTCTCCCCACTCCCCCAGCCTCTGCAGGTGGACACCACGGAACTGCTGTCCTCGTGAGCTCGTGTCCCCACCCTGCCCCTTCACGCCGTGTGAATTGTGTGCAGTCACTGCTGGCAGCCTCCCCCGGACAGAGAACGTGGGGACCCCGTGCACTGCACTTGAGCGTGAAGGGAAACCTGTCGCGTAAAGGGGCAGTTGAGGGCCAGAGAGAGGACGGAGGGTAGGGCACTTGCTTTGCATGCCGCCCACCTGGGTTTCATTCCCACGTGGTCCCCAAAGCACCGTCAGGAGTGACCCCTGAGCACTGCCAGGTGTGTTCCTCCTCCCAGAAGTGGTGGCATTACCTTGCCAAGAACCCATCAGGAGCCGTCACTGTCAGCGAAGCATCTTGGAGAGGGGGCTCAAGGCACAAGTTGCAGTTCATGTTTGAGGTATAACTTCAGCACAGAGCAGATCTTGGGGACTTGGTGTGGGGTTTTATACATATATAAATATGTATAAACAACCAAATATACATAGACATGTGTATATGTACACACATGTATGTGTATGCGTGTGTGTATATATATATATATTTGGTTTTAGGGCCACACCTGATGGCGCTCAGGGCTTCCTCCTGGCTCTGCACTCAGAGATCACTCCTAGTGGGACTCAGGGACCATAAGAGTAGCTGAACCCGGGTTGGCCACAGCAAGACAAGCTCCTACCTGCTGTACTACCACAACAGCCCCAAAGTTAATATATATATATATATATATTTGTAGTGTGTCAGTGAGCATTGAACCTCATCTGTATTTTTCAATAGTTTTTTTTTATTGAATTACTGAGTTCACTATTGATTTTGTCTTTTTCCCCCCTCAGAGAGGATGTACAACTAAAATATGTATCAAACTTGTCAAAGCATAATTAAAATAACCAAAAAAAATTTTCATCATGCCGAGTTGTTCTTTGCTTTTGGATTCTCATTCCTTTATGAGCTGTAAACAGTAGACTTTCCAGTCCTTGTGGCTGTGATAATGCAGAGTCCCAAATGTGGAACAGCTGTCTTCTATTAAGTCAGACTTTAACGAGATTTGCAAAAATGTAAAACAATGCCATTTTCACTCACTGTTTTTTTTTTTGGGGTCTTGGAAATTTTTTAACAAAAAATGTAGAAGTTATGTTACTATATAATGAAGGTTCTGTTTTTTAAAAGAAATATCTTAAATGTGCGTTTTAATTTCTAATATGTTAAAAATCAATACATAAAATCCAGACAAACAAAAGTTCTTTGGGTCCCTCAGTAGCCTTTAAGAATACAGAGGCATTATGAGTCAAAAATGTTGACATCCTTCATGGGAAAGAAATGAGTTTCCCAGAAAGAGAAGTCAAGAATGTAAAAAGGGATCGAAAAGGAAGTGGAAATTGTTCAAATCCGAAAGTGCAGCCACTTGTGCTTTCTGCTATGAGGAAAAGAAATTTTCATACAACTTTCTTCCGCCTGTGCAGACGGAGTAAAAGAGGAAAAAGGAGAGAGAAACTGCTCACACTCTGCCAAAGATTCTGCCTTGCATCAATGGCCCTTTGTTTTATTGAGACATTAATAAGTCTCTGGCTCTGTGAAGGTAAGCCTGGGGCAGAATAGAAGGAGAGAGTTAAGTGGCTCCACACAGTAGAGCCAACGGATCGAATTAGGGAGAGAGTGAGAAATCAGCGCGGGGAGGGGCCTGAAGAGATGGAGCAGTTTGCGGGAAGGGGCTTTTTGGGTGGCAGAAGGCTGAGCCGCACCCCACCTTCTGTGAGTAGTGCCTTGTGTGAGGAGTGTGTTTGATGCTGTTAGTTTGGGGGATACAAGGGTGCGCAGAGGTCTGTGTTTTCTGTCCGGAGCATGAAGCTGAGAGCCAGCTAGGCTCCAAACACTGCTCCAATGATGACAGCCAGAATGTACAGAAATTCTAGAGAAGCCCCAGAGATCTTGAGTGTGACTGGTCTCCCTACAGATTATGAACATAAAAAAAAAAATTATCCTCAGGTCAGAGAGATTTTAACTTTTTTTTTCTTTTTGGGTCACACCCAGCAATGCTCAGGGGTTACTCCTGGCTTTGCACTCAGAAATTACTTCTGGCGGTGCTTGGGGGACCATATGGGATGCCGGGGATCGAACCCGGGTCGGCCACGTGCAAAGCAAAAGCCCTCCCCACTGTGCTATCACTCTGGCCCCAGGTCAGAGAGATTTTATAGTGGGTAAGGTGATAATCTAGTATGCAGCTAACCTGGGTTTGATCCCCGGCACCACATGTGGTTCCCTGAGCCCTACCCCGACCCCAGGAGTGGCCCCAGAGCACAGAGTCAGGAGTAAAACCTGAACACTATCTGGTGCGGCCCAAAACCCGAATGATACCCTCAGAATAGAACAAGGTGACTTCAGCTGACAGCTGACCAAGCCACTCAAAACCCCTCCAAACCGAGAAAGGGGTGTAGAGAAGGCGGATGTGGAGTGTTAAGGGTGTGTCCTCCCCAGGCCCATGAGGTATAGGACAGGATTGTCATCTTGGGTGAGGGTGGGGGTTACATCTGGAGATACTCTGGATTCCGCCCCCCCCTCCCGGCAGTGCTGGAGAGAACATACATGATGTCTGGGTTACAGACGGGTCGGTGACATGCAAGGCAAGCACCTTCCCTCTTACACTATCTCTCTGACCCCATAAATAGTGACCTTGAAGAACAGAGGCCTGTAGGGAGTCCTGAATACAGACCTACACGCGCATGTCATACACACACACACACACACACACACACGCACGCACACCAGGACAGATGCAGGTGGCTTCGAATCTTCGGAGAACTCCCATGGAAGTCATTAAAAGCAACTCTTTCGGATAGAGGGCATCATGGCACCAGTCTCTGCCCATGCAGGACATGCTGTGAGGGCAAAACAGACTTGTCAGCCACCCCAAGGTTCCCTTGTTATTGCTCCCCTCAGAGGCTGGTCCTAGTGCGCAGTAGCCTGGGGGAGGAGGGGGTACAGGTGTTTGCTGCTTGGCCTCTGCCCACCTGGCAGGCGCATTTGTGCAGGACAGCATGGATCGGAGTTGCCCAGCACCACGTATGGTGGGCCCAGCACCACCAAGAAGTCTGGGATGATTGAGCACAGCTAGCACTGGCTGCCAGTAAGAAGCGAGGGTTCAGAGACATTGGCTGTTTTCTTCAGCATCGTCAGGCTGTCTGGATCGCTACGACCCTTATCCCAACATCCGCCCCAAACAGGCCCATGGATCCTTCATGGGAGGAAATAGCTGCTGGATGACACCTACCTCTAACGAGGTGAAGCCCTGGCAGGCTCATGCACGGTTCGCCATGCCAGCGCAAAGGACTTGAAGAGCTTCTGTTTCCCCGCTGAGGAAGCGAACTTCAAGAAATTGAAAAATGGGGCCCAAGAGACAATCCAGTGGGTGACAATCCAGCGCTTTCCCTGCCACTGGCCGAACCAGATTCAATTCCTGGCCCCAAGCATTGCCAGGAGTGATCCCTGAGCACCACAGGGTGTACCTCCCCATACACACATGCACACACACACACACATACACACATACATACACACACACACTATACCAAAAATCCTGCAGAGGAAATGGGCCATGTGAAGACAAGAGCAGGGGCAGGGATGTGGACATGAGTCCAGGAGTGCTGGTGACCACAGCTGCAAGGAAGACTGGCCTGCAGAGCTGTCCCCGAGCTTAGCCCTGCCCACCCCTCCATTCAGACCCTGTGCCTGCAGCGTTGAGAAACACCTGTCTCTGAGTTAAAGCCCCAGGGCTGGGGATCTCTTACTGCAGCCAGAGGCAACTCAAACTCACCCCAACTCCTTCCTCTGCCCAGCCCTTCTCCTGGGCCTCTCTCCTTCCACATGACCATGTGGATGTTCCTTCCCCGAATTCCCCTTCGGCTGCCTGCACCCACCACTCTCTTGATTCCCCCCAGCTTTTGCCAGCGCCCGCCTCTGCCCGTGTCTCTTCTGTCTCCACACTCCCTTCCCTCCCTGTAGAATAACATTCAACTTGAAAGGCTGGGAGCCAGGATGAACTGAATCTGGCCAGACAGACACCTAAAAAGGGCTTTCACTTGGTTGGCAGCCTAAAGAATGTCCCCTGAGCCACTGCTGGGGGGACAGGTGTCTCTCAGTGTAGGACTTGGGAGAAAATGAGTGGATGCTAGTTCGGTTACCCACGTGCCTATCGAGAGGCGGCTCGTATGGAGAGAGTGGGAGAGGCTGGG